GACAACATTTCTAAGTGGGAGGAACATTTTAGATGGTGTGTTAATTGCAAATGAGGTAGTAGATAGGTGGAAGAAGGCAAAGAAGAAGGGGCTAATTATTAAGTTGAACTTTGAGAAGGTATATGATTCCATTAATTGGGGTTTCTTATTCTATATGATATCTCAATTTGGGTTTGGAAATAAATGGATCAATTGGATCAAGGAATGTGTAACATCTGCTAGAATATCAGTGCTTGTTAATGGGTCTCTAACTGAAGAGTTCAGTCTACAAAAGGGTTTAAGACAAGGTGACCATTTGTTCTCTTTCTTGTTTAATTTAGTTGCAGAAGGGCTACATATTTTATTGTCCAGAGCTCAAGCTCTAGGCCTGGTCCAAGGAGTGAAGGTTGGCTCAAATGGTGTTATATTATCTCATCTTCAGTTTGCGGATGATTCTTTACTATTTTGTGCAGCAGAGGTTAATGATGTGAGAAACTTGAAAAGGGTGCTTAGATGCTTTGAGGTTCTATCTGGGCTGCGAATTAACTATCATAAGAGTGTTTTGTGTGGTGTGGGGGTTCCAGATGAAAATATGGCTGCTTTTGCCTCAATCTTGAATTGTAAAGTGAAGGCACTACCAATCAACTACCTTGGGTTACCTCTAGGGGCTAATATAAAGAAGAAAGCTACATGGAAGCCTATCTTGGATAAAATTAGATGTAGGCTGGCTGGGTGGAAAAAGAAGTTGTTGTCTTTTGCTGGGAGATTAACACTTGTTAAAGCTATCCTATCTTCACTACCAGTGTACTACCTGTCACTTTTCAGAATGCCTGAAGGGGTTGCTAAAGAAGTTGAGAGGCTCTAAGCTACATTTCTGTGGGGAGGACCAAAAATTAAGAAGAAAATCCATATGGTTAGATGGGGGAGCTGTGCAAAAGTGTGAAACAAGGAGGGTTAGGCATTAGGAGAGTGAGAGAGGTCAACTTTTGCTTATTACTAAAATGGTGGTGGAGGTTTGGGTGTGAGAGTGAAGCTTTGTGAAAGAGAGTTATATGCAGCAGGTATAAGCTAAAGAATGCAAGTTGGCTGCCTTCCTCTATGCTTGGAAATAACCAGTCAAATATGTGGAAAGGCATCACAGTTTTTGATGAACATAGAAACAATCTCCAAGAAGTTTTTGTGAACAATTTTCAGTTGATAGTTGGGGATGGCAGAATGATTAGCTTTTAGGCTGACAGATGGTGTCAGCAGCTTTATCTGAAAGATGAATTCCCAAGTCTATATAGATTGTCCCTAGAGAAAAGTGATACTCTGAGGGATATCTATGATAGGAAAGATTCTCTAGGAGGTTGGAATCTATCATTCAGAAGAGTATTGTATGAGTGAGAGGAGGTGGAGCTTCAAAATCTCATGTATCAATTAGAAGTAAGACCTGCAGTGAGGTCTGATCAAGTGGATAGGCCTGTCTGGACAGCATCATCTTCAGGTCAGTTTTCTGTAGCCTCTTTGTATAGTTTGCTGCCTGTAATAGTGGCCCAACTCTTCCAATTACTAAGTTGGTGTGGCTTAATTTTGTCCCCTCTAAAGTTCTAGTATTTGGGTGGTTAGCTTGGAAAAATAGAATCAAGACTGTTGAGTTTTTACAAAGAATTGGTGTCTTGTCTGGGAATGGGGTTGGTCTGTGTGTGTTTTGCAAGGCTGATTGTGAGTCAGTGAACGATGTTTTAATCTGTTGTCCTTTTGTGTGGAGTGTATGGACTCATATATTGAATTGGTGGGGGACTCAAGGGGCATTACCAAGCTCGATGGATCAGCTACTGTTATGGTGGGCTGGAGGAAAGATGAAAAGGCTGGAAAGAAAGATTTGGAGTGTTATCCCACTGGTTGTGCTGTGGTCAATTTGGAAACTTAGAAATGAATATGTGTATAAGGTAGCTAACCCAAATTTGATGGAGTTGTGTGAATTGATTAAGACTAGGATTGCTCTGTGATTGAATCCATATCTGAAAGAGTTCTATTTTTCAACCAATGATTTCATCTGTAATTTAAGGCAGATCAGATTGGGCTTTAGAGGAGCTCTGTTGTATTGAGTTGGGTGGAGTTTTGATGGGTTAAGTCTAGGCATCTTTGTTTTTGCTAGCTTGTGAATAAGCCACTTTGTTCTTGTTTGATGATGTGCAGATTCAAAAGTGGTGAATACCTGTTAGTATTCTGCAACAATATTTTTGGTGATTTCCTGGTGTGGTTGAATACCTGTTCTTGATTGATGATGTGCAGATTCAAAAGTCATGAAGGTTGAGGGTAATGCATATACCATCAGTTGCAGAAGTGCAGGAACTGGGTGTGTTTGGTTGAATACCTAAGGACTTGAAGGGCTGCAATGCAGTTCATAGTTTTTCTCTGCTATCTATTTTCTCTGCTATCTGTTGCTATCTGCAGTGCAGTCCATGGTTTGTGCTGATTTCTATCTGGTTTCTCTCTACCCTTGCTCTGTTTACTTTGTTGTTGGGAGTTCATGGTTGTGCAAAATGTCTTGAAGGGCTGCAATGCAGTTCATTTTTTTGTCTGCTATCTATCTGTTTTACTGATTTTGTTCTGCTGGAGGATCATGTGGCAGCCATTTTTGCTCTGCTGCTGCTAGCTCATGTGGAAGCCCTTGTTTTTTCTGGTTTTTCTTCCTTTGTTTGTTGTTGGTCTCTCACCAACAGGAGCTTGGAGCTTTTGCTAGCTCCAAGCTCCTCTTTATTGATGTACTCATTCATACTTCGTATGTTTCCATCAATAAAGATTTGTTTTGCCGATCAAATATATATATACATATATATAATATTTTAGGGAAAAATTTATTTTACTTCTTTGTAATATGACTTGATAGCACTTTACCCTCCTGTCTTTTAAATATAGCCATATGCCCTCCATGCAATTTTGGACTAAAATACATCCGCTAATACCGTTAACTATATATATGAAATGACTACAATACCTTTGAACCTTATATTTTTCTCCTCTCATCTCTCATATACGTAATTTATAACGTCTAGTATTAATTCAATTAAATCACAATTAATTATAAATTATAAATTATTCATTGTAATTCTTAAATTTTTATTCTAATTTTAATTTAATTATATTTTAGATCACAATTAATCCTAAATATTTAACTATTTATTGTAATTACTAACTTTTTAATCTAATTTTAATTTAATTATATTTTATATCACAATTAATTAAAAAAATTCTTAATTATTTATTATAATTTCTAACATGCTAATCTAGTTTTAATTTAATTACATTTTAGATCAATTCTTAGTTATTGTTTATTTTTATTTAATTATATTAAATCAATTATTAATTATATTTTATATTTTAGATTAATTCTTTATTATATTTTTTTATTTATTTTATTTTTATTAACATATTCATTTAATTTTATGTTTGGAGAAAATGAGAGTAAAATTGTCCTTTGTTGTATTAATTTCATTTTAAATTTTTCAAAACAAACACACTCTAAAAAATGGTATGTGTATTATACATTCCATTAGTTTGGATGAGAAAACTAACGGTAGTATTTTAGTCCAAAATCACATAGGGGCTTTCTAACTATATTTGAATGATAGAGGGATAAAGTGCTCCAACCCAATCAATAAGGAGATAAAATGAATTTAACCCAATATTTTACGTGTCATCATTGTCTTGACAACAAATATTAGTAAGATTTATTAAACTAAAGTAATAGAATGATAACACATCTATATCTATATATAGTAAGAAAAATAGGATTTTTAATGAAAAGTCTTCTAAGAGCTCTAAACTGTAATTCTAAAATTTTTAATTTTTTAATTTTAGATAATTAAATTTTGTTTTTATTGGCTAGCCTCATTAAAGTCAAATAATAATAATAATAATAATAATAATAAACAATAATATGGCTTGAGTTATGACTTTCAAGTGAAAAGTATACTAATTTACTTTAAAATTCAAATTTGAACGCCACTAAATATGAAAAGAAATCTATTAATTTAAATTTAAAATTGACACATAATTTAAATTTGCCATGATCTATTCCAAGATTTAAATATTTCAAAAAGAAAAACTCACTAACTTAATGTAAGATTATCACAATATATATATATGTCTTGACAATTGTATGTATATAAATTGAGCATATTTGTTTAAACAAGGCTAGAAGAAACAATAGAGCTGGCCTAAGGACAGAGTTCGCTAAATTTGAATAGGATGACTCAGCGTCAGGAAAAGTAAGCCCCCCTTGTAGGGTTGCAAACAAACCGACTCGAGCAAAATTTTAGTATGTTTGAGCTTGTTTATTAAGATTTTAACAAGCTCAAACTGAAGCTCAATAAAAATTTAACAAACCGAACTCGAGCCGAGTTGGCTTAGGCTTAACTCGAGCTCGAGCTGACCTTCTCTAGGTTGGAACCCAAAAAATTTATAAATTCATACTTGCATACACTTAGTCTCATGTATTTATACTTTTATTCTATAAAGTCTTTTTTCTTTATTTATACTATTTTTTTAAAATATTTTAAGCATTTGTTTTTATTTTTTGTGTTTTTTTATTTATATTGATTTTTTTTAATATTTTAAGCATTTTTATTTTAATTTTTAGATACACCTAATCTAGATATACTTAAGAAATATAATATTTTGTGATTTTTTAAATTCACCAAATACAAATATATATATATATATAGATATATAAAAATTCAGTACATTATCTTATTGGGAGATTTTTTTTAGGGTCCCTGATATTAAGATTTTATAGCATAAAAGACATTCAATATTTTCATAATGTCTAAGGTCCTTCAAATTGATCCAGAGAAAATTCAACTTCATAGAGGGTCCAGAGAAATTCTAGGACTTTCCTGAGAAATTTTGAAAATTTCTCTAACTTTCCCTAGACTTCCCACTGTAAATTTCTCTGGCATTCCCTTATCTCCAGAGAATTTTTTTTCTCTGGCCTTCCTTATAGTTCCCACTCTCCAGAGAAATTTTGAAAATTTCTATAGCCTTCCTGAACTTCCCACAAACCTCTTGAAATTTATCTGTGAAACAATATCAAACAGAACACAAATCAATTTCCATATTAGTTTAGCAGACATGACCACCACAATCAGTTTTTGGCCCTTGTCGCAGTGTCCCTCTTCTCTGTTGATGAAGTAGAATGGTCCCGACCGATCGAGCTTGACATTGGTGTTACCATCCTTGTGCTCTATGATTGGACTCGATGTGTTGCAGGTAATGTAGTCTCTCTTCCTCACTTCTACCATCGAATCTTTGTTTCCATCATAATTCCACACTGTTGCATTGCATTAGAGAGAGATTTTAAAATCAATAGAAACAAACACAGAGACAAAGACAGATTAAGAATGGAAATGAAGATGGAGGATTGAATTATCGAGAGAATCGCCAATAAGAAAGCGAGAGTTTTGAGCCCATAGATTGAGAGACTCAAATTCAGACGAAGGAGTCTTCCATGCGTTAGTCTTGCCTCCAACCAAGAACTCTCTGGCTTCTGATAAGCTGCTATTTGCCAAGAAGACCAACAATAGAACAACCAATGAAGAAGAAGAAGAAGACACAGCTCTTGCAAAGCCAGCCATGGACACTGCTTATCTTCTTGGGGAGAGAGAGAGAGAGAGAGAGAGAGAATGTTTTATGGTGGTGATGGTGAGTTAGGGGTGTGTATATATATGGAGGTTGGAGAGAAGGGGAAAGAAGTAGCCGTTGGGAAAGGTTGGGAGTGACAAGGCTGGCTTTCCCTCGTTTCGAACGTTATGGTTTTGTTTTGTCGGTTATGTCATGACGGATAGTTGAATCAAACTAATAAGTAAAAGGGTAAAAATGTTTAATCTCATGATTTTTTTTTCCCCATCAATTAGTGAAATAATTATCTGGAATATCAGTAAGCAAAATTGATAATGTTCTTGATTTTAAAAATTAGAAAAAATTGATAATAATATCATTTTTACTAAACATGACTTATTGGTTCAAAATTTTTTAGATAAGACCTGAACTACCATAACATTTATATTTATAGATATGATTTTTAGATAATTAACTCTTATTTATCAAAGAGTGTCTGTAAAACAAAGAACTATTCCAAAAAACTATTCAAAAAAGCAGGTCTATATTGCAATCATTCTCATGCAGTTCACATTTTACCAATTTTAAATATATATGCAACACTTTTAGGTGATTTTTTGGGACCAAAATAACATATTTTTTCTTTACTTTTAACAGTTGATTTTATGAGAATATTTAATTATTTCTGTCTTTTTTATTTATTTTATTTATTTATTTATTATTTTTTTTTTTTTTGAGATAATGAGATGACAAAGTATAATAATGCCATATGAGTTTACAAAATGAAAGGGTTAGTTGTTTGGTATTATGAAATACAAATTTAACGTGATAAATTTATGCATACCTTTTATTTTTTATCATTTTCTTTTCATTGACAATTGTGTGGACTGAAATACCATTTGGAGCCTGTTGCTAGAAAAGAAAATCAATATATATTTGTTAGATTTTTTCTAAAACAGGTTATGTTATTAATATATTTATTTTCATTGTGGGTAATGTATTTATTTTGATGTGATATGTGTATAATATTAAAAAAAATGGGCTCTCTTTTGTACAAAACTTTGGTCGAGCATACTTAAGTTTTCTAATGATTGATTCATTACTAGAGAAGTGGTGATGATAGGTAGTGGAAATTTATTCGATCGTTAACTCCAATTAGTTGATGGGCACACAAATTGGACACTCAATTATCAAAAAGTAAAAGAAAAAAAGAGTACTTTTTGAAATATAGAAAAAATCTGTATTAAATCAAACTCATAGGATGGCAGTGTAATTTATCCCAAAGAAAAAGGCACTGTACATTAAATAAATAAATGAATTTATATTGAATTTTACTTGTGTAGCTCAACAGCATCTACTCTCAACCCACATACATAGAAAATCAAATCATTCCCCCCACAAAAAATACATCTCATTTTCTCTCCATGCGTCAAATATATAAATCAAATCAAATTGAATAGCACTGAATTAAAAATATTGAGGAACCCCCAAAACCCCTCACCACATCAAACCCAACCCAGCCAAAACAACCAATGTCACCACCACTAAACCGCCCTGGAACCTGGTGGCACCGCTAGTGGGTGCAATGGCTGGACCTTGGAACTCAGCAGGAGATGGTGCCGGAGCAATTCCCAAGTGCCTCCTATGTCTCTCAGACATGACCACAACAATCAGCCTCTGTCCCTTCTCGCAGTGTCCCTCGGCTCCACTAATGAAGTAGAATGGTCCTGCTTTGTCGAGTCTCACCTTAGTGTTGCCGTCCTTGTACTCTGCAATGGGGCTCGAGGTGTTGCAGGTCACATAGTCTCTCTTGCTCACTTGCAGTACGGAATCTTTGTTGCTGTCATAATTCCAAACTACCAAACAAGAACACAACAAGATTATGTTAATTCTGTGACTGTTTTTTTTGGCTTATGAATTGGGAAGAGATAAGAGATAAAGCTTGGAAATGGAGGAGGAAGATTGATTACCAACATCCTATTTGCCTAATGTTGCATATGTATATTTTGATTTTGCATGCTTCTAGCTTTACTATCTAATTTGCATGTGAAATTGCTTCTAGTTTTCTAGAGTTATACACATAAGTTATTTCCATGAATAGTGTGTGATTTAATTGGATGAATTAAAGTTTGAATTAAATGTAGTTCTTTGGAGTTATAAAATTTGTGTAACTTGCCTATATTTATTTACATGGTTATTGTGAATTAAATTCTTATATAATTTATGGCAATTAATTTTTTAATTTAATGTAGAAGTTATAAGGTTTTGTAACTTGTATAGTATCTTAATT